ACCAAATTAAAAAAAAAAGAGAAATGGATCTTTCTCGAGAAGTCACAATAACCGTAAATAAAAAAATTCTGATCGTCCTCGAGATCATTATCAATCTTGCCGATGCTCTCAGAGCATGCACTCGTAATCGGCGCGCGCTCTCTCTCTCTCCCTCCCTCTCTCGCGCTCTTTCTCTTTCTCTCTCTCTCTCTCCTCTCATATATATATATATCTATATCGTTTTACATAATTTGTTCAATACGTTATTTTTTTCTCTTTAATATTTTTAAAGTTAATTTAAACACAACTAACAGCAGCACAGCATAATCCGGTACTGACCTATAACCATATTACGGACGGATGGATTCCGGGAGGTTCGCACGATATAGTTTTCTCCATTATCGGCCCGTATATACTTCTTTTTCTTTGTTTCTATCTTTGTCACACTCATTCGATTAGGTTCAGTACTTACACCGTCTACGACTCTTAATCCATACAAAAATAATTACGTTATATATATATCGTCTATTGCCATGTGTACGTTACATATATAACAGTTTTTTTTTCTTTTTATACGTTTCTTTTTCTTTTCCCCAAGTACTTCTGTTAAGTTTTAATCGCAACACCATTCGCTTCGCAATACTCGCTGGAACAAGCATGCTATTTCAACAGGAAATTTGATACCGCAGCTGGTACGTTGGTTTCCATTCGAAGATGAAATCTTCAGTCGATAATCGAGGAACTTTTCGTTGTTTTCTTTTGTTTAAATTAATTTTTAATAGGAACTCGCTCGCAAAATAAGCGTCTCAATCATTGATTGTTTAAAAGAAAGTGTTAAAAAAAGTTGGAACAATATACTGAAAGTAAAAATGCACTGTATATAAAATGAGGTTATGCTCAATCTCGCATCTCGTTCGATCAATAACCGTCACAGTTAAAATATATTCGATTTTGCAATCGCATGACTAGATTTGTACGCGTTAAATACATGAAAGTATCTACATTGTTGTTTTCATCGTTTAAAAAAGGCACTAGCGGAAACGATTGTACCCGTTAATTCTAATTAGCGAAGTATTGCGACGTCAATGGCTGCGAATAAATGGTGCGCAAACTTCTCTATCGATAAAAGTGAATTCTGAGCAAACAGTGGAGGGACTCGGTCTGAGTTCGGCTGATTTAATCACCTCATTACAGAGTTTTGTTAATTTATTTAGAATGGAATTCGATGTGAGCGATTTAGGCGCGTATAATCTGTAAAGCAAGTTCATCGACACGGAAAGGAACTTTTGAATAAACAGTTCGTTAGGTGAGAGCCTCACATTGAGGTTAGAAATTTTTTTTCTTTTTTGTTTTTACAACGGACTATTGCGCGTCTTACCTGTCATGTATTTAATGTATCATTCTTTTTTAACCTAATACTGCTTAAAATCCTAACTCTATAATGGGATGAAAAATAAGCCAGTTGCTAGCGACGTGCTAGCGGTGCAATCAAAAGAAAGGAAACAAAAAACAGGTGAAATGAGAAATAAAAAAAAAATAAAAGAAAAAAAATAAAGACAGAACAGAAAAAAGAATTAGAAATCGATTAACAATTATGCGATTGATAATCACAGTAGTTCGTGTTTTTCAGGCACCTTTGCTTACAAGCTAATGTTCAAATAAATATAAATAATAGACGTTGGCGTTGACACGAGTCGATAAAAAAGATATCGTACTGTCGATAATAAAGTGTATAG